AAATTCTTTGGTCCATAAAGAATTTCGTTTGTTGTTGTTGTTTTTTTTTGTGAACCATAAATAGCCATAAAGATTATTGAAATCTTCAAAAGAAAAAAGGTCATCCATTTGGAATTGTTGAACATCAATAATGGCCAATTGGAATAACCGAATACCAAAAAAAAAAATCGATGAATAAATAATCAATGAACATCAGCAACCAGAAAAAAAATGAATCAACAAAAATCAAATCAGAAAAATTGTCTTTTACTAGCGGCCATTCTCCAAAATTCACAGAAGAAGAAGACGAAATAATAACAAAATCAAAAAAAAAAATTTGATTGTTGTTGTCCGAAGAATATTATTATTATGTTTGCATTGTAAAAATCTTTGCTTATCATAAAAAGATAGAAAGATATTCATCCAGCCCTCGAGGAATAAATGATTGATTGATGGAGAATATTTTTCAAAAAATAAGTATTCCAGTTGAATTCTTTGATTTGATTTTCTTTGGTCTGTTCGTTTATGTATGATCTACTAGAATCAATGGTAGAAAAAAAAATAAATTTCCAGTTCAAATGTGTTTGCAACCTAAAGACCAGCATTGTTGCAAATTAATTAAATGAAAAATTATCTTCGAATGATGATGATGATGATGGTCAGTTGATAAATTTTGCTTGTTTGTTTTTCGGTTGTCCACTTAATTCATCAATGATAATGTTAATGAATTTTAATTAATTTCTTCAGAAATAAACATTTTGCTTGATCAGAATCGTAATGTTTGCATTGTTTTTTTCTCAAGGTTTGTTTGAATTTACCTTCATTCATTCATTGATATTTCAGAATTCTGAAAGGAAATCAATCAATTTGATTGCGTGGAAAAAATGCAAACGGAATCGAAAGATAAACAAACAAGCAAAAAACTACAGCAGAACCAGAATCATCATTCATTTATTTGGATGCTGATGTTTTTTTTTCGAATTGAATTGTTCAAATATGGCAAACAAACCAGAGTAAAATTTTGTTTTAGAGAATCAAAATCAAACAACGATGGTAATTCAACGATGCTGATGATGATTATGAGAAATATATTTACGGCAAAAACGACAACAGCAGCAGCAGTAAAATATTGGTAAAATCGTAAAAAGCGAAAGAGAAAGATCAATAAATTCTCTGTCATCACCACCACC